TTCGACGAATTAATAATAGTATAACAAAATATGTTTTGCAATCTGAAATTCTACTTAGGAATATAATACGATTGACGTTTTTACACACTTTTTAAATATGTTTCAATATTGCGTTTGGTTATTTCGCCTGGTAAAAGCATTTTCGTTTATACTTTATTTATCTTCGTCAACATTTCTAGGTGACCATCATCTATTACAAATAAACATAACCATTTATTATATAATTTATAAGTTAAACAATTATTATTTGTATTATTATTATTGTCACAATGACGTTAAACTTACAAACCTAATTTGGGAGTAACCTAATTGGTTCCCGTTTGTGTACAGGTGAAATAGTGACAATTTTAATTTTTAATACAATTCACCTACACTAATAAAAATAAAAATCTAGCGGGCCAGTGCATAGAGAGCAAAATATAAAATTTTAAAAGCTATATGTATGACATATAGACACTATTATTATATCGATAAGATAGAGTATATAAATATAAATAAATAGAGACTAGCAAATTACTAGCATAGGCACAGGAAAGAAATAACAAACACTTGAAAAATTGTATGACTGAGTACATTAATGAGAAGATTACGAGAATTGAATATTTAAAAAAAGTTAGCTTCAAATTTGCAAATCAGTGGTTTTAAATTGTATTTATTGTATTTTATTACCTTTATTTCGTACACCTAAGTTATGATTTGTTGACTTTCAAATCAACGATTTAAAATTATATATATTTTATCATTTTTTTTAACACACATTAACAAACATTGTTAACCAAACCTACTTTAAAGTTAATAATAAAATTGTGAAGGAAAATGTGCGTAATTAAACGAGAACCAATTCGGTTATACCTAATAAAATACCTTTTTCAAACAGGAACCAATTCGGCTATACCTGATAAAATAAATTTTCCAGACGGGAACCAATTCGGCACGTGGTGTTCGAGTTCGGGAACGAATTCGGTACCAGTCCCTAATTTAGAATAATTTTATGTAAATATGTATGTAAATAATATTAAGTATATCTATGTTGAATTTCAGCCTAACGACCTAGTTGTTGAAGGCTTTCCTTAAAAAAAAAAATAAAATTGATTATTATTGAAAAAAAAAAAAATAATAAAATATACCATACATATTGTATTATTGGGACTATTAGCATTGTTTAATTTGTTTGAATAATAATTGCTTAACCATATATTTGTAATGGCTCCAAAAGCCGCCTCGTAGTAGGTAGTACAATATTTTTAAAAGATAATTTACAAGTCATATGGACGACCAGACTGGTACATTTTTATAGAACTCATGATCAATGTTGGTCGTTTAATCTGAAAATTATTGGTTATCGTACACCCTTTATTTCATATAATTACTTACATAATCAACAATGATAATTTTCAATTGAAAAATAAAAAGGTTTCAACCTTTATTCCTAAAAATTAATTAAAAACTAATCAGTTGGTACATTAAAAATAACTTCAAGTCATCTAAAAATTTTGTACAAATTGAGGTGGAATTATTCATCATGCAACAGATTTAGATAATAAATAACCATGAGCCAACTCTAAATTCCCCTCTGGTTGGGAACCACTGCCCTACAATTACTTGGCACAAATTGTTTTAGTTTTACTATTTAATTATAAATGTAGCAATTTTCTATATTATAACTTACAAATTATTATTAATAAACATCAATATTTTTTATCAAAAAGTGATAAAACCTGTAGATGGTAAACAAAACGTGATACCTAAATGGTATTCCAGCAATAAATTTGACCATCAACATAGTATCATATGCATAGGTAACATAAACACAAATAGGCGCACATTGTTTTTGAATTCAAGGGGTGCTGGAATAATTTATAGTATACAGGTTCGTGGGGGAGCTTTGCCCCCCACCCCCTAATAATATAATCAAATGCGTTGCCATAATTTTTAATTTTTATTAATGAATATTTAAAAGTAATTATATTATAAGTTATAAAATTTGTCCAATATAATTTCCCCATCTATTTTATTAGTAAGATTTCTCTTAATGCTAAACGTAGATAACTTAGTAAATCTTTCTTGGCCTATTCAAGTGCGTAACCAATTTTTCAATCTACGCATAGCTAAAAAAGAGCGTTCACATGTTGAAGACGAAATTGGAATTGTCATTCCCACTTGAACTAGTTTATAAACATTTGGAAACGAACTTTTATTACATTGATTTTTCAAGTCTTTAAATTCAAAGTTGGCTGGTAGACTATTCTTTAAGACTAGCATTTCTGCTGATAAACTAGCAGTTGATATTTTCAAAATATCCTGATATATCAAACAATAAACAGATTAATTTACATAATAATATTTCAAAACATATGACCATGTAATAAATATTTTAAATAGTTAGTTATTTTTTATTAAATGTATATCTTATAAGTGTTTATAAAAGAAGACTATTATATTCATCCAAGTTAAAAATGTTTTCTACAGAATTGGCCAGCTCTAAGCTTTCCTCAAAAAAAATATTTTTCTAAATTCACAATTATTCCATCAATTATCCTTAAATAAACTATTGTATACCAATATCCAATGGTGTTTGAAGTATTATTTTCAGACACTGCTCCTGTTCGATGACCTAGGTCGTAATCTTGAAGTTTGGTTGGTTCACGACGTTTCCGATTTTGTTTTTTGTTTGACATTATAGTCAGATAAAATACATAAATATTTTTTTAACAATATGTTATTGTATAGACTTAGGTACAGACATTTTAAATGTATGTTTTAAATAAAGCAATAATATATAATCCAAATAAATAATTAAGAACTACCTTCGTTTGTGGATAGTATTGTCAATAGTATATTATTTTTATTTGAAAAATCTTGAACCTTTTGCCAAAATTTATCAAAAGCCTCATCAGAACGTAGATTTTTAAATGAATCAATAACACCATTAATTATTTTTTTCAGAATATCTCAATGTAGCTTTTTTTATTTTAAAGCTGATAGCTCAAAATATTAATGATACAAAGTACATCATAAAGAATGAAAATTATAACAACTAAGTTTTTTTTTGTTATTGAACTTAAAATGCCTAAAAATTAATAATCGTCATTATCAATTTGATAGAAAATATTATTTGTTTTTAGTAATAATTCTTATTTAGTATTAATTTTTATCAATAGTAATGAATCATATAGTTTGTATGATTGGTAGGTATGGGCTTGATATATTAATAATATCAAATATCGATATTTTGCTTTGATATATCGATATATTTTGATATTTTAAATATACAATAATATTGATATATCACTGATATTTTTTTTTTTCTGCCTGGCCTCACTGGCTCAAAATGGCTACAAAAATAAAAATACTAATTTTTTATATTTAGAATAGCCACAGAAAATACCATCATTAATCGTTACTTTATGATTATTTTCCAAATGACTGTTATCTATGTGTCCATTTATCGGCGATTTTGTTATTTATGTTTATTGTTGTCGTTGTTATGTTATGCCATACTCCACGGATTAAGTACTAAGTAGTATATTTTATTAGTGTACCTATGCTTTATAGTCTATGATATATATTAGGTAATAAGTATATCTAGGCAGTAGGCGGTTACGAATTCAAAATTGTTTACCTATATATTAAGATTTGTTAATATTAATTTTGTTTTTATAAAATAAGACTGTATCAATAAAACATCTTAATTATTACAAGTGGTTATTTAATTAATACTTATTAAGTATAGTTTATGTTTTTGTTATAAATAGTAAAAAAAAAGTTATAAAAATACGATTTTTTTTCATCAATTATCAAATATCAAAATATTGATATTAATGTTTAAAAATATCGATATCATTAAATTGAAATATGATATATCGATATTGATATTATCGATATTATTTTTGTACAGAACATGCCTAATGATTGGTAATAATATTTGTCATTCCATATACAATTCAGAGTAGCTCACTGGTTAAATATTACTAAAAACCAAGTAATAATCAAAGTTATAAATAGAACATAATTTCGTAGCCAACCGTAAACTGTAGATAATATAAGAATATAAAGTAAGATAAGATAATGTGATTTTCTATAATATTATGATTGCTGTTTATAGTTTAATAGTTAGATAAAAACTGAATCAGTAAAACGTGCAATTATACAATATTGTTTTAATCGTGAATTCGTCAACTATATTATACATTATTGTCTATTTATATTGGAAAAAAATGTCCAACCCAATAAACAACAATAATTTACAAATTATTGATGAAATACTGAAATAAATATTCTAGGAAATTGGGTGTGCTAATTTTAAATCTGGGGGTGCTAAGCACCCCCGAGCACCCCCCTTATGTGCGCCTATGCTCTTACTGTATAGATACATGTATAACACATGTATGTACATTGTACGTTCATTGCATTACCAATCCATACTGGAGTTTACTTATTCTTATAAATGCAAAATAATTCTCTTTAAACAATATTTTTACCTCAAAATAAACTGGGGGTGCCATTTTAGAACTTTGAGGTATTAAGCACCCCCCTGAAAACCCCGCATGTGTGGCAATGGTGTGTATTCGATACACGTAACATTGAAAAATAAATTCCGTCACTGCTATCAATAATATAATATTATATTCGTCAGGCAGTCACGAGCCAAATAACTGAGATACATATATATAACAATAATAAGCGAATAGCGATCTAATAATAATAATAATCAGTGCTTTACGCCGATGTCGTTACATATGAGTATAACAACAAATAACAGTTGTCATTGTCGTATATGATGACGACGGCGGAAAGCACCGATAATATTATTATTATTTTTATTTTGGAAATGAACAAGTGATATAATTTATAATATAAAATTATTTTGTTGGTGGCTTAGACGACGTGGGGTGCACGAGCACCCATAGTCCCTCCTGAATCCGTGCCTGATTCTAATTTATATTATATAATTGTATGCTTAAATTTTCTATATGTTTATATGTATGTATATATTTTAGTGTTATGATGCAGACGATGATACATTATTACCAGCTCAGTTCAATAATCTGGTTGTACCTAATGCTACACAGTACATTTCGGTTTTCACGCTAACGGTTCAAGCAGCATACATAACATCTGTAGAATGTATGCTATCTTCAGGTTATTATATCGAAAGTGGATTCAATGAAATCGATAGCCCGTCAAATGATATTATAACAGATATAATTCAGATAGCTGAAAGTGGTCTTCAAGAAACATCCTCATCGTTTGATGATGACGAAGAAAAAGAAATGCAAGACAAATTAAACGCTATGCTGTACATGACAATTAATTATTATAAAACAGATGTGACTGTAACGAAGACAGACACGAAACTTAGCGATGTTAACGATATAAATACTGCTCAAACAATTCTTATTGCACAGAGATGTCAATCGTCTTACATTGATTTTATGAAAAAAGTCGAAGAATTAAAAAACCAAGTTTGACAATGTTCCAGAATATACAAACACTGTCGACATAACTGAACAGCAATGGAAAATCATTGTTAATCAATATAACCAAGTACGAAAAAAATTGGCCAAAGAAATGGATGTATACGCATCGATTAAGTACGCATTCCTTTATGGTATGGGAATAGATTTATGTACTGGATCTGCAAGCCCCGATGAAAAATTATTGGTACGTAAATTCGTAAATCGTCGTAAATTGTCTATTTCAGTTATATGACGTTATTATTATGATAGTTATTTTTTGTTTTTTAGGAAATTTACAGTACGTCTGACCTTACAGTGTTTTTTGATCTTAATGACAACGATTCATTGTTATTATTGAGAAAAACTGTTCTTCATATGTATGAAATATATAAGAAATCATTGACTATGATTTATATAAATTCCATGGGTTATTCTTCGCAAGACATATCAATGAGAATTTTGATATGGGAGCAAGTGAATATAGTTCGAGCAAACTTTGATTACATGAGTAAAAATATTGCACTGACCATAGAAGATTCACAAACAAAAGCTGAATCTACATTTAATAAAGATACCAATGACTACACAGAGGCTATGACAACATTATATAGGAGTGTTAATAAAATGCTTCTAACGGCCGTAAAATCCACCGAAGTACATTATCAACGAGCAATAATGTTTAGTATGGATGGTAGTATGTTAACAAATAATTTTAATTCATACGGAGAAGAATCAATAGAAAAATATTATAATGATGTTCTATGGTGTAATCCCAATGTAGCTGATTATGATATACGAGTTGTTGAAAAAGAAAAAAGTGGACAGCCATCGGCAGATATTGTTTTGCCAAAAGATTTTTTATCCATTCATAATAAATAAATTAATTTTACAAACCTTTATATGTCAGATGAATTATATAAAGATGAAGTCACAAACATTATCTAATAATGAAACTGATTTAAATACTTGGGAATATAATCAAATAACAATTAAAGAATTAAAATACTCAATTTTATTTGCGAAATGTACAGCAGTATCAAACAAAATGTATATTATTAATATTGGCACTTATATATTTATTTCAAATACTTTAAGTTCAGATACACAAGATTCTCAAAGTACTGGAATTACCCAAATAACGGAACAAATTACGACTGATGTTATTGGATCAATGGGTTCACTTACTGTCGAAATAACTGCAATCTTTCGTCAAATTGAAATATATATAAACAAAAATAGTAATCAAATAGAAGCAAAACCTTATAAACCAAGAGCCACACAAGGTGGTGGTGGTGGTGGTGGTGGTGGCGGTGGTGGTGGTAATGGTGGTGGTGGTGGTGGTGGTGATGATGATAATAATTATGGTAAGGTTGCTGGTGGTGTTGGAGGTGGTGGTGGCGGCGGTGATGGTGGTGGTGGTGGAGGTGGTGGTGGTGGTGGTGG